TCCTCCTCCTCCTCCTCCCTCCCTTTCTCCCCTCCCCCTCCCCCTCCCCCCTCTTCCTCCCCCTCCTCCTATGCTCAGTTCCCTGCTAGGTTCCCGAGACTTCATCGCAGTTGAGGAGCCTAGAGATTCTCGTCCTCTCTTACAACCGCCTCACCCTCGTCCCCCTCCTCTCGGGCTCGAGCAAGCTGAGAACGCTCCAGCTGGACAAGTAGAGAAGTTTGCGGCTCCTCCTCCTTGCTGACAGCTGGACAGCAACATGATCGGGTGGGACTACTTCTGCGGAAGGCCTCCGGCCCGAGCTGAGGAGCACGAGGGAGATGCAGGTGCTGCAAATGCTCGTGGGGGAGGAGGGGAATGGAGACGACGAGTCTGAAAAGGCGAGGATGCAAGGAGCGAGGGAGCGAGGGAGCGAGAGGGAGGGAGGAGGGAGGAGGGAGGAGGGAGAAGCCAGCAAGGATGAGGAGGAGGGAGGGAAGAGCGAGGAGCGAGGAGGCAGGAGGAGGGAGAGAGAAGCCAGGAAGGATAAGGAGGAGAGAAGGAAGGAGGAGGCAGGAAGGAGGAGGCAGGAAGGAGGAGGGAGGTTTCTGAAGGAGAGCAGGAGTGAGCGGGATCTTCTGCTGCACCTCCCTCCGCGTGCTCCATCTGCATGCCAACAAGCTGGTGTGGCTCGGGGGGAGGGACGGGGACGCGACCGGCTGGTGGCGACTGAGCCACTTGAACGAGCTAAGGGTGGACAGAAACGAGTTGCAGCAAATCCCTCCTGCACTCTCAGCTCTCCTTGTAGATGACAACGGGATGACCAACCTACAGGCACCTCCTCCCTCCTCCCTTGAGATCTACCTCCCTCCTCGCTGGTTTCTCCTCCTTCTTCCCCTCCCTCCTCGCTGGTTTCTCCTCCTTCTTCCCCTCCCTCCTCCCTCGTTTCTCCTCCTTCTTCTCCTCCCTCCCTCCCTCCCCACGGCCAACTCACCTTCAGTCCTCACAGGTCAATCGCCTTGCCAGACTCCGCAAGCTGAACTTGGAGTTCAACAAGATCAAGGATGTGAGGCCCCCAGCACTAGCCCAGCTCGTATCTCACCTGCTCCTCAGCTTCCTTGCGAGCTGGGTTGGTTGTCAAACTCCGTACACACGATCTCTTTGAGGGGGGCTCTGGACGTTCCCGCAAAGTACCCGGACGTCTCGTTCCGGCAGCAGGACCCCTCGTTCTTCCTCTCCCTCATGGACCTCCAAGGAAAGGAACTCCTCCACCACCTGAGGTTCTTTCTTCAGCTCTCTTCCTCCTCCTCCTCCTCCTCCTCGTACTCCACCACTACCACCACCACCACCTCCTCCTCCTCCTCCTTGACCTCAGACGCTCGCAGGAACCTGTCCTGGCTCAGAGCCACTTCGCAGGGTCTCAATTCCCCCCCTCGTCGTCTGCTTGACATGCCCTGGCTCCAGGTGGGGAGCTGGAGGGAGCGAGGTGAGCTAATGCTCGAGCAGGTGGTCAACCTGGACGACAACATGTTCGAGAGCATTCCTCTCCTCCTCGCTCGCATTCCCCTGCTCTGGCGGCTGGAGATGACCAAGAACAAGATCAGGTCCGTGCTGTGGGTGGGGGCAGAGCTTCCTCAAGGATGCCTGGCAGGTCTGTTGGGGAGGAGGTGGGGAGTATGGAGAAGCTAAGGGAACTCTTTCTTGACTACAACCTGATCGACGAGGTGACAGACTCCAGCTCTGGTCTTGAGCCGCAAACTTACTCGCCCTTGCCCAGCTCACGCCCGGCCTCTCCTCCCACCCTTCCTTGTCCTTCGTGTCATTGCGGTACAACCTTCTCAGGTGCCAAGTGAACTCTTGCTCCCGCTACCCTCCTCCCCTCAGTCCTCCTCTCAGTCCTCCCCTCAGTCCTCCCCTCCGTCGGAATCTGCTCAGCCTGCTCCTCCTCCTCCTCCTACTCCCATCAGAGTCTGACTGGCTCTCCTTGCAGTGAGTCGCCTGTTGTTGCGTCAGCGTCAAGGATTTTCTTCTCCCTAGAGGGAAATCCATCCAAACCTCCGGGCAACTAGTCAAGGGACCGTTGGTCACTACTCACACGAGTCAGTAAAACCGTTGAACGGTTACTAGCAGCAACCTTTCCGAGTTCAGAACTGCCAGTTCCGTCACTGTCCGAGGCAGCCTGCCAGAGAGCATCACTGACAGTGATGGCAACTCAAAGTCCGAGTCAATGAGAGCCTGTCCGATCAATGATGGGGGCGGCGGCAGTGCAGCAGCCTGTAACTTAACTTGCCCCGCCCAGTGGGCTCCGAGCCTGCCGCTGTGCCGGGCTGAGTCCGAGGCAGTGAGTCTAGGGAGCCTACCGTACTAAGCCTCGGGCCCGGGCCCACCGTACTCAGTAGTCAGTGTTATCAGGGCGCGCCCCCCCGTGACTTGAAAGCCTGGCCCCTGACATGAATCGCCCGCGGGGGCTCGGAACTCTGGGCCGTCGCCCGGCCCGCATTTCAAGTTCAGTGGCACTGCGGCTCCACTGACCCCCGTTCGCTGCGCACCGGACACTCCAGGCTCCACTGCCAAGCGGCGGCTCAGTCGGGCCGTGACTCCCCGAGTCGGATCGGACCGTGCCGGCCCGACGGTTAAACTTGCCCGGGCCCGGGGACCGTACTGGAATCATGTGCCCGGCCGTCAACCGGTGATACGAAAGAATAAAACTACATTTAACCCCGACTGAACTCTACTGGAATTAATTAAAATAGTTTTAATTTGTACCTAATTTTCTCCTGGTAGCAATCTAAAACCTTCTCCTCATATTAAAAGATTATTCAAGGTGTATAAAAATAACTATTAAGGAACTACCTACCGAAGGCCAGAACCTCTGAGGTTTTGAGGTACAGAGTAGCACCCACCCCAATCATTGTACCCTACCCCCTTTCAAATCACACAATTACCCTACCCCCAATATCGTCTAAAATTTATATAAGGACCCGTCCTTTACCAGCTCTTTCATTTTGACCCTACCCTTCCTTTCCTGCTGAGAAACACCCACCCGTCCACTACATCCCTTCCGAGCTCAATACGTGTGGGTAAGATCAAGGGGTAGGTACTTGAATGACGGGTAGTCAGGTATCATTTCCTTCCTCAAGTCTGGGTAGGGTACAACATCCTCTAGTACACAAGGAGGGGTAGGGGTGCGTAACAAACAACCGGTAGTATATGAAGAAATTGATAAGATGGAGGGTAGGGTACTACGGTAGAGGAGAGTATCAGGGGTTGGAACACAGCAGGGGTGCCACTTGGCTGTTCAGATAGGGGTGGTGTGAACGGGTAGGGGGTGGTAACCGCCTCTCTTGCGACCGACCATGAAAGCTTGTCTTGATTGTGATGCAGCGGCAGTGGGCATGCGCGTGTGGAATGCTTCTTCCTCCTCTCCTCTCCCCATGCGGGCGCACACACCCTCCTCTTGGCTCACTCCACCTCCCTCTCCTCCTCCTCCTCGTCCATCCTGCGACTTCGCCGTATGGTCGCATTGATCTTCGGCTGCCGCTACGACCCCTGTGTTGGATCGAGCCACAAAATGTCGCCCATGCTTTGAACAAGATTTTCTGTTGCTGTGATCATGATATTCTCTTCTTCTCTCTCAATCGCGTCATGGATTGCTCGCTAGCATGCTTGTCATGAGCTGGACTGATGGAAATCTCTCTCCAACTCCTTGTTCCTCACTCCATTCAATTTCTATTTTGGATCTCTTTGTATTTTCACCTACGTTTGTACCCAAAAGTTGCCTGCTGCACCGTCCATGACTTTTGCTTCCACTTATTGGTTCTCTCATTCTCATTGGGCCTGTCTTATTTTATTTTCTTCTGCCATTGCTTTTTGACCTTTGCTACCGTCTCCTCTTCCGAAGCTGAATGACGTCTGGCAGCTTGCAACCATGATACTGAATGCATCAAGAATCATACATCGTCAGGTGTTAACCCGAAGTGTTATCGGGCAGGTAGAGCTCTTATTTCGCTCTAAGTAAGATGCTCATGGTTGTGTAGGTTCCTGTCCGCTTTCTCAACCTTCATGAATATCAGTCGGCGGAAGTCATGAGAAAGTTTGGGGTGGGATGAACCAGTTCAAAATCGGTGTTAACTTGCTGCTCTAGGTGAATACGCCTAAGGGAGGAGTTGCTCACACTCCAGAGGAGGCCGAACAAGTGAGATGTTGAATGTTTGGAATCCTTGCGCTGACGTTATCCAAGGTGGCAAAATCCCTCTCGAGTGACAACATGGCAATGACCGGCGTGAAATTCTTCTCTTTTCCTGATGGATATTCCAGGTGATCAAGGCGCAAGTTCTGGCAGGAGGACGTGGTCTAGGAACGTTCAAGAACGGGTGCTCAGCGTTCTAAATCGTCAGCGACGATCGTAACTAGTTGGTAGATTCAAGGGTGGAGTGCACGTTGGGGTGAAAACAGCTGGTGAAATCAAGGACATGGCTTCTAAGATGCTCGGTAATTTGGTCGCCCTGCTCCTTTTCTTGGTGGACCAAAATGTTTCGATGCACCTGACGTGTTGCTATTTGCAGGTCAACTGCTGGTGACAAAGCAAACGGGGGCTGCGGGACGTATTTGCAACACTGTATTTGATGTGCAGCAATCTGATACATTTGAATGACCCTTGTCTTTGCAGGTTGCTGTTGTTCAAACCATCCAAACCAAGTCTGAGAAGTACTTTGCGATTTTGATGGACCGGTAGAAGTGCCTACGGTCCGTTCCAGCTCGCTAAATTTGTTCGTGCAGGTCATATGGAGGCCCTGTCATTGTAGCCAGTGCAAAAGGTGGTGTCACTATCGAGGACATTGCTGCTGCAGATCCTAGCGCGATCATCAAAGAGCCTGTACCATTTGTTTTGGCTAATGCATGGACGCATGATTGATGTGAGATCAGGTGGACATCGACACTGGATTGAAGCCTGGCCAGGCAGAAGCTATTGCTAAGAAGATGAACTTCAGCTGCGAGAAAGTGATCTCTTTGATGACGTATCGCGCATAGTCTTACTGGTTACGGTCAGGCTACCAACATGGCCGCCAATCAGATTAAGGCGCTCTACGACACTTTCATCAAGTGTGATTGCACAATGGTCGAGGTGAGTTTGAAGTCTCAAATTTAAGCCCGCCGGCTGAAATCAAGTTTCTAGGTCAATCCCTTCACAGAGACTCCTGATGGCGAGATCGTCTGTGTTGATGCCAAGGTTTCTTGGACAAGAACGAGTTCTATCCAGTGCCTGAGACTCGTCTTGCAGGTCAACTTCGATGACAATGCCGAGTTCAGGCAGAAGGACATTCATGCCCGGCGCGACATCACCCAGGAGGTGAGGCTTCTCGCACAGGCTCCTTCCCTCGTCAACTCGTCGCTGGCCTTCGGAACTGAATCCTTGAGACCTGCAGGATCCGCTCGACGTGGAGGCAGCCAAGTTCGACTTGAACTTCATCAATCTCGATGGCAACATCGCATGCCTCGTCAACGGCGCTGGACTGGCCATGGCCACCATGGACATCATCAAGCTGCACGGAGGATCCCCTGCCAACTTCCTCGATCTTGGTGGCTCCGTAAAGACCCCGCAGGTCCTTCCCTCCCTCCCTCTCTCCCTCCCCCTCATCAGCGCGCCCTCGCTCCTCTCGCCCCTCCCGCCCCTCCCTGGGGTCTGACCGCACTCCAGGTCGTCGCAGCCTTCCGCATCCTCAACTCAGACCCCAAGGTCCAGGGCATCCTCGTCAACATCTTCGGCGGCATCGTTAACTGCGCGACCGTTGCTCAGGGCATCGTCGACGCTGCCAAGGAGGTCCCGAGCATGTGCGAGCTGCGAGTGCGAGGTTCTGACCTGCTGTCGGCTCAGGTCTGGGGAGGCTCTCCCAAGGTTCCACTCGTCGTCCGCCTGCAGGGCAACAACGTTGAAGGAGCCATGGAGCTGATGAAGAACTCTGGGATCAAGTGCATCCTCGGTCAGTGCCAGCCAGTCCCTTCTTGCCATGACGTGCTTGTTGCAGGCGAGGACCTCGATGATGCTGCAACCAAGGTGGTGGCTGCTGTGTCTAAGTAGATCCCTCCGTCCTATCCTCCAACGTCTCCCTCATCCATCTTTTAGTCGAACAAAGATAAGCAGCAAGACTTGTCCACTTTCCTTGCGTGTTTTGCTGAATGCCGTCTGCTTTCTCACCCTCACCCTCCTCGCTCCTGTAGAGCTTTCCCATGTCTCGATCCTGTTCCCGTCAGCCGTCCCCCCTCTCTCTCCTCCCTCCCGTCTTCCTCCTTTCTTCTGCC